AACTGATAGTGCATATAATGTTCACACTACCTCCTCTACCTGTTTTTGAATGTCTTATAATTGCCATGAGTAATCACCTCTTTGTAAATCACACAGGACAGGTGCTGATCTAACCAAAGGGTGTAATTTCATTATCAGTCAGAATTTATGAAAACTTCTTGTGGAAAGAAAACCCTTTTTTTGTTGGAAATCAGAAATAATGGTCCCAAAATAGCTTTTCTAAAATTAAAAGTAATGTGCAATATATTATTTACATAGAAAGAAGGTGTTATAGGATGCATAATTATTTTCATAGCTACTACACTATGGGATTAAAGATAACTCATTAAAGTACCTTAAAATAGTACAAGTTATTAAGACTGCAATAACAAATTTGAAATAAAAGTTTGTATGTTTATTTATGACATATGGTTTTCATAAAGAAACCAATTAAAGGCAGCTGTATTTTAAGTACACATTAAAACGCAGTCTCCTAATGGGTAGTTATAGTAGTAAGCCCGCACTTTGGCACTGATTACTCCCTACACACAGACACACAGACACACAGACACAGACACAGACACACACACACACACACACTATCAAAAGCTTTTCTTATGTGGAATCTAAACATAATGCTACATTTGCTAATAGGTGTACACCAGCTTCCATGGCTATGCCAGTGTCAGGGGACAGAAGTGGCAGTTCCTTATATATTAACGAATTCCTACCAAGCTTTTGCTCTATGTTTAAAAGCCTAGGGTGGTGGTGGGAAGGGGAGTAGGGCTTTAACCTGCAATGGTGTGGTAGAGTGGACATTTCATCTGAAATCAGGAATTCAGATTTGTGGTCCTGTTTCTTCCACTGACCAGAGCTATGATTTTGAACAAGTCCACAAATTCTTCGAAAGGTGGAGTCTACTTCACCTCTCCTTGAATGTGGGCTGCATTTTGTGAATACATGCCATAATCAATACATGCAGCAGAAGTGACACTGCATGACTTCCAAAGCTAGATAATAAAAAGTGATATGTGGTTGTTATGGATTGTGTCCCCCCAAAAAATTCGTGCAGCAACTTGGCTAGTCATGATCACCAGTATTGTATGATTGTGTTATCTGATGTGATTTCCTTATGTGTTGTAAACTTTTATCATTATGATGAGATTATATGTGATCTCCTTGAGTGTTGTAAATTCTGTCACTGTGATGAGGTTATACTGATGAGATTCACAAGATTAGATAGTGTCTTAATGCAATCTCTTTTGAGATATAAAAGAGAGAAGCGAGCAGAGACACATAGGAACCTCATACCACCAAGAAAGCAGTGCCGGGAGCAGAGCATGTCCTTTGGACCTGAGGTTCCTGCCCAGAGAAGCTCCCAGACCAAAGGAAGACTGATGACACGGATCTTCCTCCAGAGCCGACAGAGGAAGCGTTCCCCTGGAGCTGATGCCCTGAATTTGGACTTGTAGCCTACTGGACTGTGAGAGAATAAACTTCTCTTTGCTAAATTCATCCACTCCTGGTATTTCTGTCGGAGCAGCACTAGATGACTAAGACAGTGGTTTTTCTCTCCTTCTTTCCTGGGACAGATGCCTTTGGATCTGTAAGCCACCATGTAAGATATCCAGCTACTCTAGTACTGCCATGTTGAAAAGACCATGTGAGGAAACCACACAGAGATAGAGAGGCCCACTAAACTTCAGCTATTTGAGTCTTCTAGCCTAGGCGATAGACATAGGAGTAAAGAAGGCTTTGAGATTACCCAGTCCAAGCCACTAGGATACCCTTACCCAGAACTGCTCTGCTCTCTTCAATTCCTGATCCACAGAAACAGTGAAAGATAATCAATAATTATTGTTGTTTTAAGTCTCTAAGTTTTAGGGGTTTTTTTTTTCAAGATTTTTAATCTTTTTAAAAAAGTTTTTTTCTCTTTTTTTAATTGTACTTTAGGTGAAAGTTTACAGAACAAATAGTTTCTCATTAAACAGTCAGTACACATATTATTTTAGGACATTGGTTAACAACCCCACAACATGTCAACCCTCTCCCTTCTCGACCTTTTTTTTTTTTGGTGAAAATACACATTGCCAAAGATACACCATTTCAAAAATTTCTACATGCACAGTTCAGTGACATTGATTACATCCTTCCAGTTGTACTGCTATTCTCATTCTAGATGAAGGTTTACAGAACAAAATAGTTTCTCATTGAACAGTACACATGTTGCCTTATAACTATGGTTAACAACCCCACTACATGTCAGTACTGTCCTTACTCCACCTTGGGTTCCCTATCACCAGCTTTCCTGTTCCCTCCTGCCTTCCAGTCTCTGTCCCTGGACTGCTGCGCCTCATTAGTCCCATTTTGTTTTATGGGGCTGTCCAATACCCGGCTGAATGGTGAACCTCGGAAGTGACTTCACCACTGAGCTCAAAGAGTGTCTGGGGGCCATACTCTCGGGGTTTCTCCAGTCTCTTTCAGGCCAGTAAATCCAGTCTTTTTTTGTATGTGTTAGAATTTTGTTCTACATCCTTCTCCAGCTCTGTCCAGAACCCTCTGTTGTGATCCCAGTCAGAGCAGTCAGTGGTGGTAGCCGGGCACCATCTAGCTGTACTAGACTCAGTCTGGTGGAGGCCTTGGTAGTTGTGGACCATTAGTCGTTTGGACTAATCTTTTCCTTGTATCCTGTT